TATGTATGTACATACAAACGAGCACCAATTAATTTTATTTAAAGAAATGGCGTGGCGTCTTATTCCGCTGTAGCAAACGTAGTACATAGGGCGACATCTAGATGTCATCTACCTCGCCCTATTCACTACAGCTGTCGCCCTATGCACTATGCTTTTTTATAAGAACTTTTCAAAGCTTTGCTTTGGTGATTTTCAATTTCATAGATTGTTTATAATGACTTTTGCTAAAATTTCAAAATCAAAAGTTATCAAAACAAATTCTATGGGACTGAGAAGTCTTATTTTCTAAGATGGACTAAAAACATTTATAAAAGCGTTGTATATTAAAAAGTTTTTTTATATTATTTTTTACCACTGACATCCCTACTTTCGACTAGCACCTTGTTGGTCTCGGGTTCAATTCAACGTGCCAAGGATTTTTTTGTAGCGAGTTTTTACCTTTTTTCTTATGCTTTGTTGCGATAAGGTAGCTAAGTAAAGATGGGCCAAGCGGTTTCCGAAATATTTGTGCCAATTTTTTTTTTTTAATTTCCATAAGTACTGCTTCAACTGGAAGATGTGGACGCTAAGATATGTAAAGAAAACATAATGGATATTCTCTTTACAATAACGGGCGCTTAGTTACAGCATATAGCGAGAAAGATTGTAGATAAAATAAAAGTCGTTTAATTTATTAGCAAAAAATAAGGATAAAAAGATCGAAAAGGATAAAGATTGTAAAAGATGGTAAAAAAGATAAAGATAAAATATTGCAAAAAGATTATTTTGGCTACAAATCATTTACTTTCATATTCAAATTAATCTCATGTTTCACTTATCCACCGACGGAGCGCCCATATCAACGTATCAAATTACTGTCGATAGAGAGAGAATCTCTCTATAGTAGGAGATCCGACAAGGGCAGAATCTGTTTAATGGATGAAATCTACTTTGTATGAAATTTAACGTATTAGGAAATATTTCGCGAGTGGGTTGGCAGAAAAAATCCTGGCCCGGATATTTTTAAATAAAAATAAAAAAATATAATATTTTTTTTTTTTTAATTTTGCACTCATTTGTTTAATTAACAAATTATACATATACACCAATCGAAAGCATAAAAGTGAAAGTACATACCGCTCATTGCGACAGCGTCACCGCCACCGTCCCCAACACCGTCAACGACGCTTCTGCGTCAAGTTTCACACAATTCGTTGCCATTGCGCCCGAAAAATCATAAACTCGCTGATTTCAGTTTTTCACTTCTTATATTAGGTTTTCCTCCTATTTTTTTTTTTCATTTCGGTTTTCCATCTATATATTAATACGCTAACATAAATTTTGTCTCCGTTCGTTTGGCGATTCCATTGGACCCGATTTCAAAACCAAGAACACCGTTGGAAAGACATTTTTCCGTAGATGAGCAGAGTTTTTATGGTTTCACAATTTGTTGAAAATTACGGCCAAAACCGTCGTTTAAGCATTTTCGAATTGTGCATAGATGTTGCTGCAACATGTTCAATTTGACATGTTTCGCATGTTGTTTCACTACAGAAATTAAGCTTTGAAATAAAGATAAATATGAAGATGGAGAAATAAATGATAACGCTCAAGTCAAATAAAAAGAAGGCAAAAGTGATGATAAGACGAAAATGGAGACAATGACAGATACATAAGAATTAGGGTAACTGAAAGGGTAAGAACATTTCTTGAATTTATGAAGTGAAACTTCTTTAGCGGCAGTTGGTTGGTTGGGAGTAAATTGTCAAATTCAAGGGGAATAATGCACATGGAAGTAGTTCTCAGCAGTTTAGTGGTTTGAGAATAAAAACAAAAACAAAGATGCCTAGAGGTACAGGCAAAAACGAAGATCAAAGTAAATTTAAACACTTTAAGGTAAAGTTGAAGAGGAATATGCAAAAATAAAGATATATATGAAGAAAAGAATGAGGATGAAGATCGATATTGTTATCGATATAAAACTATATTTTTATCGATATAATAATCGATATTGCTATCGATATTGTTATCGATACTGATATTAATTAAATAACCGCTATTGTAATTGATATAATAATCAATATAATAATCTATATTGTTATCGATACAATAATGAATATTGTTATCGGTATAATAATCGGTTAAATAATTGATTTTGTTATCGATTTAGTCATTTATATCGTTATCGATATGTACAATAATCGATACTGATGATTGTTATATTTATCGATGAATTCATCGATTTTGCAATCGTTGTATTTTTCTATATGTTTATGGATATTGTTATCGGTATTTTTATCGACACAATTATCAACAGGGTTATCGATATAATAATCGGAACATAGAATGTGATCACATTACATGACATCACATCACATTTTATCACATGATATGAAGAGACATCACATGATATTACATCACATAATATGATATCACATCACACGATATCACCTGACATAACATTATATGATATGACATCACATTATATGGCATGACATCACATGACTTGATATCACATGATATGACATCAGAGCTTATGACAACACATAACATCTTATCACGTCATCGCACCTCATCTCATCTACGTGAATAAAAACAAAGATGAAGACCAAGGTAAAGTTACCGTAAAGTTAACCAGAAACACCGTTGGAAAGGTAATTTTCTGTAGATGAAGAGAGTTTTTATAGTTTCGAAATGGGTTGAAAATCGTCGTTTAAAAATTTCCATATTTGTGTATGGTTGTTTTTGCAACCTGTTCAATTTAAGCTGTTTCGCATTTTGTTTTACTTCGTATTTGAAATTAAACTTTGAAATAAAGATAAATATGAAGATGAAGAAACAAGTGATAACAATGAAGACAAAAAAAGGCAAAAGTGAAGATAAAGACGAAAATTGAGATAAAGGCGAAAATGGAGACAATGAGAAATACATAAGAATTCGGTTCAAAGAGTTGAAATTTTCCGATAGGAATCGAAATAAAATCAGCCATAAAGGTTATTGAAATTTATCGAATCATCGAAGTTTATAATTATCGAAATTTATCCATGCTTATCGCAACGTATCGAATTATTCAAACTGATCAATGTTTACTAAGTTGTCGAAATTTATAGACACAGAAACTTAGTTGTCCAAATTTACGGATAGTTATCGAGCTATACAAACGTGTGGGATTAACGAAATTTGTCAAGTTAAATAAATGTATCAAGTTATCGATATTTATTGAATTATCATTATTTATAGACTTAACGAAATATATCCAGGTGTCGAAATGCATGGAGTTCTTTCAACTTACAGAGTTATCGATAATTATTGATCTACTGAAATTGGTTGGTTCAACAAAGCGAAGTTTATGGAATTTTCAAAATATATCGATTTATCAAAATTTCAAGGTTATAAGGGCTTATCGATTTATCACTGCTTATCGCATTAAATCGTCTTAACAGAGTGTAACGAGTTATGTTTAGATAGTTTTCGAAAAATGTGGAGATGTCAAAAGTAAAAATTTATAAAGGTATCCAAAGTTTTTGCATTTTTGAGTTATCGAAATTTATCGAGCCATCGAATTTCACAGTTATCGAAATTGGTCGAGTTAACGAATTTTGTTGAGTTATCGAATTTTAGTGTTCTTGAAATTCATCGAACTATCGATATGTATCAAATCATTGAAATTTATCGATAAACTTGAATGTATCGGGTCAATTCGAAGTCCAGCCGAAATCCTCCAAAGACCCTCTCAGATAAAAAAAAATTTGTTACGTTTTAGCAGAAGATTTTCCGGTTAGCTAATTTGTACTGTATAAGTAAGTATCGCTACGTGTTAAGTTAGAAAACCTCTCCAAGGCTTCTAAAACTAGAAAAACTGTCGAATTTCGACAGTAACTGGCACTCTAGTATATATTAAAACTTTCACAAACTGGAAAAATTTACGTTCAAACATGTAAACAAAACACTGTCAGTTGACACAATCGCATAAGCAAAATTGAGAGTTGAGCTAATTTGTGCGGCACCGTCTGCGTCAGCTTGTTCATGTAACTTATTTCATACAAATACACCGAATCAGCTTTTTTGACAACTGTCGGTGACGGTTACGCAATGGACGTTATGTACTTTCACTTTAAGGGCTATAGAATGTGTTAAATAGATGAGTGAAAATTGTTAGTGTTAGGTAGGCCAGGAAGAAATAGGCTTAACTCTTTAAACGCTAGTGTTACATATATGTAACGCTCGAATTTCGCGGACTAATATTGTTGTAAGGAAAATTTGTATTACATAACAAAGATTCACGAGTGTTACATATATGTTTCAGGTCGTACATACATCCCTTGATGAAGGTCGAAACTTTTTATTATGGGTTTTTGTACATATCCTCTCTTTTATTATCCTCCAAAATTTGGTTCCTATAAATTTCCTCTTTTGCTTTCGCGTTTAATGAGTTAATAGTGAAGGTAGTTTCAATGCACCACTTTTTGATTAAAAAGCAGATTTTTGACAATTGCTCTATTGTTAAAAATTCGAAGCGGTGTTACCCAATTGTACGTTTTTTGGTAGACAGGATTTTATATCATAAATTTGGAATTATATATAAAATAGTTTAATAACATTTACCGTTTAAAAGTAATTAAAATATTATCTTAAAAATGTTTAACTTTTACACTAAATAAGATAACCACTCCCAAAGACTTCATTTTTAGAATAATAAAATTTTAGTGAACATTTACATATATGTAAATATTTTTTAGTGTCTTTTGTCATCTGTAGCCCGTTTCTGTAACTTTGCGATAAAATAACCAATGATTTGTTAGCGCAAGGCTCGTATCGAAATCGTTATGAAAAGTGTTTCTGCAACTCAAAAAATTCACGATATGGTTGTGGTGAGTTGTTAACATATCGATGGTACGACTGGAATGAAAGGAACCATGTGTAATTTCTAGCGCGAAATTGTTTTGTTTACGTTAAATAAAAGTTGAATAAGTGCAATATTTATTATAAATCCGTCATTTGTTTGCACATATTTTGATTAGTAAACAAGTAAAAGTATATGGGTATATTTATGCATACATACATCCCGAATCCCGGGAGTTCCGAGCACCTTCTTGAGTCCCGAAATCCCGGGATCCGGGAACCGGGATATAACTTATTTTACGACCAAATTAAAATAAAACAAAATTCAGACACTGTAATGGCATAAAAGAGTTATAAAATTGCAACCCTACAAATAGTCAAATAATATCGAGCCCTAACCGCCAAAATAACGTAAGCGACGTTTTTTTCAAAATTTTCCTTTTTATGCAGAAATGCATCTAGATGCTCTAGGAATATTTCTGCATCAAAAACAAAATTTTGAAAAAAATGTCGCTAACGTTATTTTGGCGGTTAGGGCTCGATATATGTATCACTCACAATTCTAACACTGATATTATTCTATATTAAAACATATCGTCCCGTTTCTGCCTTAACCTCGTATCTGCAATAGAGGTAATTTAGAGAGTGTAAGAAAAAATGCTTAATTTCTTCCCCTAGGATACAATCAACGCATTTTTTACTTAATATTTCTAGTGTGAGCACCTTCATTAAGTCTTTGTTCAATTTTCAAATAGTGTGACGCTTAAACAGCTGTTATAAGTGGGAATATTAGTTTTCCATAAATGGGGCATTCTTTTTCATATCGGACACCAAATTTGGTGTCACAATTTCGATTGGCTGCAATTTTTTTGTTCTTCGGATATATCGCACACTAAATCAAAAACCGTCACAACTCAAAAAATCCTAAATGTTCAGGAGAGGCAAAAAACTGTTGATGCTGCGCAATCGATGCAAGCAAAATTAAAAAGTTTTAGTAGTATTTTTTCAGTTAAAGAAGATAGTAATGAAGAAGAAATTTTCGCGGACGTTGAGTATACGGTCTGTGAACTGTTTTATGGAAAAAAATAAATTTTAACAAATTTCGAGTTGTGCCGGTTTTTTATTTAGGGTGCGATATGTATCTATGATCTGTCAAAGTTTGGATTTTTGCGTGATTCTGACTAATAATGTACCTTTTAAAATTGTTATATCTCAGGTTCTGCTCATCACCGTTTTAAAGCTAGAAATACTGGCTTCGTGGTCATGATTGTCCTAAGGTTAACTTAGCTATTAACAGTTGAACTTTTTGAAGTTTTTTTGCATAGTGAAGACCAGTAAATTTGGGATTTAAAATTTCACCATCGTAATTCTTGTTTAATTCTCACACTCTCACAGAATAAACCTTCTCGTCATAAAAAAAAAAATATTTCAAAAATAGTTCTTGAAAAACGTCTATTTTTTGAAACAATTTGTTCTATAGAGATTTAAACAAAGATTTAGATAGTGTAATTTTAAATCCCAAATTTACTGATCTGCACTATGCAAATCAACTTCAAAAAGTTCAACTGTTAATAGCCAAGTTAACCTTATGACAATCATGACCATCTTATGTATAGAAATATTAAGCCCGTTTCCTTACGTTTGAAACGACGTTAGGATGAAGCCTCTACGATGAGCTGAACCCGACATATAACAATTTGAAGAAGTACATGAATGGTCAGAATCACAAAGAAATACGAACTTTGACGCACTCACATCTCCGAAGAAAAGAAGGAAAAAAATCCACAAATACGCTTTAGGTTATTTCATATATAGAACCCATTAAAAAATTTTAAGCGAAGCGGAGACATGACATAATTTTTTTACGAAATCCGTCCGACTTGTATTTATACATAATATATATGTATATACCAGAGTTGTGAAAAATGCATTAGATTTTTTAATGCATAGCATTTTAATGTAAATGAAAAAGATAATGCATTAATTTTTGATATTTAATGTAAATGAAAATTTCAATGCATTAATTCCGAAGAAATAATGCTAATGATTTTTTTTGTATTATCATTCAAATGTTTAAATGAATGAATAATTTATTGCATTAAAATTATAACAAGCATTAAAAACCCATTAACTAATTTTATTTTGAAGTAAAAATTCTTTGTTGACGTTGAGGGTAGAATTTTAAGGTCAAAAAAGATAGTGACGGACGTAAGGCTGGTTTTCACTATGTCAAGTTCAATGGAATTTGTCGTTAAATAGGTAAAATCACATTGTCAAAAGGAACTAAAAAACGGTTTATTGATTGATTTAGATCAGAGTAGGTCCTCAGTCGTGTACATGCGCTGCTAAACTGGCTATCTCGCCGTTTTTGGCTCATACTTAATATGTGTAATCGGTATGCATCAACAATCAACATAAAAATCTACAAAAGCACTCTGCGTTGCATGTACATTGGCTTTCATTTTCATAAAACATCTAACAATGTTTAGAAGAATTTTTCTACAAATACACATAATATAATGAAGCTGAAAAAACTATTAGTAATTATTCCAATTATTCTACTAGAAAAAAAATTAATGGTTTTTAATAATGCAAACGAGCAAAAGTATTAAACATTTTAGGGCATTAAAATTTTTTCATTAGCATTAGCTTGGATAATTTTGAAAGAAAAACTCATTAGCATTACATTTTCCAGAATTAATGCATTGAAATATTCATTTGCATTAAATTTCATAAATTAATGCATTCATTTTTTACATTAACGTTATTGTTTTAGATACCATTAATGCATTAAAAAATTAATGCATTTTTCACAACTCTGGTATATACCGTATGCCATTGTAAAGATGATCTCTTATTTTTTACTTTTTGTAAAAATTACTGCCGCTGCAATGTGAATGAATTTCAGTTCCATAGTTTATTTGGTTTGTAATTACCCTTTTAAACTTTTATAAATTAAAGACATTTATATTTCTTTGGTTAAAAACACAAATTTACATTTTTACAAAGACTACAAAACTAGTTTATTAGCATATTTAAATTGATGGTAATAATATCCCGAAATTTCCCGGGATCCCGGGTTTACCAATTTAAGACCCCGAAGTCCGGGATTTGATGCCTTAGTTATAATCCCTAAGCGCGGCCGAAGGCCGCCTACTCATAAAGAAGTTTTGCGCAAAAATACTTCCACCCCCTTTTTCCGGCAACACAGAAAGTAGAATTCCACTTCGTAAGGGTAATAATCAGAGACAATAACGGTTATAAGAAATAAAATTAAATATTGCTCCATAATTATTATTGAACAATGGAAAAGTGGTTTTCGTCCCGCGGGACGATTATTTCAAGACGAATATTATTTACGCCTTCTCATTATAATTATATGGGCTTTTTATTTTTTTTCGTCTCTCGGGACGATTATTTCAAGACGAATATGATTTACGTCTTCTCATAATAATTATATAGGCATTTTATTTTTTCTCGTCACTCGGGACGTTTATTTCAAGATGAATATGATTTACGTCTTTTCATAATAATTATATAGGCTTTTTATTTGTTTTCGTCTCTCGGGACGATTATTTCAAGACGAATATGATTTACGTCTTCTCAATAATTACATGGGCTTTTTATTTTTACTTTTTTTCGTCTCTCGGGACTTTTATTTCATGACGAATATGATTTACGTCTTCACATAATAATCATATGGGACTTTTATTGAATTAAAATTTCTTTATCTAGTTCGGAGACTTAGGGCCGTTAACTTATCTATTTTCAAGTAATTCTATGGAATTTTCTGTAGTTAAGTTTAACTAATGAATGAAATAAATGAATAAACTATAGCTTAACACAAATACTTTAAGGGCCCTTAAAGCGTTAAATATATTTATTTATAAATATACATATTAAAGGGTTTTGCTTTTACGAGGTTTTGGTTCTTTGAAAAGTGTTGCCAGATGTTAGGAAATCAAATGCAAATAATCGAGTTCGGAGATGTTTACGTAAAATATTTAACCCACCGTCACCAGATCTGCACCGAGAATTGAAGAGATTGGTATGTAGAAGTGCAATACGGTTTTATTTTTCAGAAAAGGGTTGCCACATATTAGAAATTAAATTCGAATCATATTCAAATTCAAATCTATTAAGAAAAACGTGGGACGTAAATCATATTCGTCTTGAAATAAACGTCCACAGAAACGAAAAAAAAGAAAAAGCCCATATAATTATTATGAGAAGAC